CTGGGCAGCCTGGCAAGGCCCAGCGGTGCCCCCGGGAGCCGGTGACTCATTCCGAAGGTGGCGCGCGCCGCAAGCGCCGCGAAGGGCTCCCATTGTTCTCCCTGTGGGGGAGGGAGGCGCTCGCCAGAAGGTGAAAGCCCCGTCTCTGCAGCGAGCATAGGAGGCTGCCCTGCCCACGTGAATCATTCCCAGAACAGCAGCCACTCGGCCTGCCTACGGCTTTAACTCTCGCTCTGCTGGAATCGGGGACGAGAAGGGCACCTGGGAGAGAGTCGGCTGGAAACGTGGTTTAGGAACGGAAAGCAGCAAGGGCTGCGGAGCAAGTCTAAGTAGCACAGAATCCCGGGGCTGGCAGAGACCTTCCGAGCCCTTGCCCAAAGCAGGACCAACCCCGACTCAATCATCCCAGCCAGGGCTTGGTCAAACCAGGACTAAAAATCTCCAACGATGGAGATTCCACCCCCTCCCTAGGGAACCCATCCCAGCGCTTCCCCACCCTCCTAAGGAAAGAGCTTTTCCTAATATCCAACCAAGACCTCCCTCACTGCAACTTTGCTCCTCGCTCTGTCACCACCGAGAACAGCCTGTTTCCAGCCTCTCTGATACTCCCCCTTCAAGGCATTAAAAAGGCTGCTATCAAACCCCCCTCACTCTTCTCTTCCGTAAGCACCCTCAGAAGAGCTTACTGAATATTTGTAACAGCCAACTAACTCCTAGAGATCTAAAACCAACGAGCAGTCCTGTGGCACCTTGGAAATATACAGGCTCGTGAGCGGTCGTGGGTAAAACCCACCTCAGCAGGCGAGTCAGAGTGGAAATAGAAGCCAAGTTGCGCACACAGCAAAAGCAATTACCTGTAAATTGTAGGACCCGTGTTAATGCAGCTAGTTACGTGGGCTGGATGTGTCCTATTTCCAGCTTTTGATGTGAAACTGTGAATGTTAAAGGCAGGGGAAATTGGCTCTGCAGTGCGTTAACCAGTTAGTGTCTTTGGTCAAGTCCAGGGTAACAGTGTCAAATTTGTAAATGAATTCCAGTTCAGCCGTGTCTGTGCATTCGGGTGGGGAAACCCCTTTGCAGAAGAATGGCTACTTTTAAATCCATGACTGAGTGTCCAAATAGAGTGTTCCCCTACCGGTTTATGAATGACACTCACTTGCTAATGCAGCTACCCCTCTGAGCGTTAGATCCCTAGTGCTTGGAGTTGACTGACCAGCTCTTCTCATTAGTGATCTACAACCCATCCTGGACAACGATCTCTCACTTTCACAGGCCTTCGGAGGCAGGCCAGTCCTCGCCCACAGACAACCCACCAACCTGAAGCATATTCTCACCAGCAACTATACATCGCACCATAATAATTCTAACTCAGGAACCAATCCATGCAACAAACCTTGGTGCCAACTCTGCCCACATATATACACCAGCGACACCATCACAGGACCTAACCAGATCAGCCATACTGTCACTGGTTCACGCTCCTGCACTTCTACTAACGTAATATAC